CGGATGCAGACTCGGAGGAGGCGAGCACGGAGAACCCATGTCCGGGTGGAATTTCGCCCGCCGCGGACGCAGGTACCTCTGTCAAGATAGCAAAATATGCACCCAGCCCTCACCAGCATGTCGGTCGAATTCAGGACAAACACGGTGCCCCTGGATTCACCGCTGCGTTGGTCCAGTTTATCAACGACATCCAGCCTCCGGAACTACGTCTCGGTCGAGCGGATCTGGCGCAAACGTTCCTCCCTTTTGAAAGGGTCGACGTTTACCACCAATTCAAATTCAAACCAATCGAGCTTTCAGATGGAAGAGAAGAGCTGGACGCCGTAAAGGCAATCCCAGCACGTCCCACAAAGCATCAGAAGGCTCGTTTCGACACGGTTATTGTTCTTGACAAGGGCGACGCGGAGTCCACCGGCGTGATAGGTGAGTGATGGATTTGTATTCGATTGGACAAGCCATTGAACCTACGGCATAGGTACCAGGGCTGCAAGGGTCAAGATCATTTTTGCCCTCCCAAAGACTCTGTCCGAGCGATTTAGGGGCCAAACTGCCCCGTCGTGGTGGCCCAGCGGTCCTCTCGCGTACGTCGAGTGGTACTCGCGTTTTGCATCAAGCCCCGATCCTACACATTTGATGTATACCGTCAGTAAACCCCCTTTGACGTCGAAGGGACTTCCGCAAGGAAAAATCATACCGTTAACTCAAATACGTCAATCGTGCCAACTTGCGCCGTGCTTCCCGGATGGACCATCGGGCACTGTACCGGATGACTGGTCCTCCAATACGGTGTTAGAGACAGCCAGTCGATTCCATGTAAATAATTGGACTGGCTTATATGCATACCAAACACTTTGGTAGAGTACTGTATATCTTCGTGTTTGCGCGCTCCGCCCAAATTGTAGGTTCCGGACCAACTCGGCGCTTGGGGTGGGAGAGTGATCAAACACATCCAAACGGCTCCTAACAGCCTGCATCCGCGTCCCTCAACTCTCCACGCGTCCCTCAACCCTCCACAACACACATCTGCTCTCCGCTGCTGCCTCAATGTCTGCCGTAGACAAGCGTCTCATCGATATCTTGGCGGTGGTCAGCTCAGCCCGCTACGAGGACATTGCGAAGCTGTCCGGGATATGCAAGCTGTGCGGCGAGCTCCGCCATGTCGCCGTCGTTTGCTTCGAGCGAGGCCGTTATGGAGAGATCTTTGAATATGTGAGTTGCTCCCTCCGTCAAGGATTGTTTGATTGCTCAGATCGTGTGAAGTGCCTAGCTTATGATTTGACTGGCTGCCCGGTGCAGCGCAGTCGAATCCAACCCACGATGGAGACCCTCGGGGAGGCGCGTGCGCAGGCGGCGAAGCTCCGCAACCCACCCGCGAAGTTTGGCGGGTGGATCTGCATGTCCACTGTGCCGGCCTTCTACAAGAGCCCGCCGCCGTCTCTGAAAACCCTCCTCAATAGGTCCCTGGAGGATAGCCCGGCTGCGCAAGGACGCACCGCGATTGTAGAAGGCTTGGTGTACGTACAGGTGAGTACTGTATCACTTTCGATGCTCATCTGGGTGACTAATGCCGTTTTCTGGCCCTAGGACGGCTACGGCCCCGTGTCGATCCCCCTCCTGGGGGAGATCGATCCCAATGGCGAGGCCATTGTCATCAACGGCCACGGGGCGGAGCAGCCGCTCCTCCACCAGGCCGTGCACACACTCAACAGGTACATCGGAGCCGTTGGGTACGCTCCATCACCCAAAAATCCTCACTTTACCCTCGACGTCTACGATCCTACGGCCGAAACGTTCGTACCGCGCTCTCTCCGCCCCGTGTTCCCTCTTCGCCTCGCGCTGCCTCTGCAGTCCGTGCCCGTCATCAAGCGGTCCGTGGTGACCCTAACCTCCTTCGCGCATGCCTACGCCACGGGCCAGAGAGCTTTCGCGGCGCCCATGTGTTCGATGAAGTTCGACTTCATCGACGCATCCTGGACTTGGCCAGTGGGGTTGCGAGCCCAACGCCAAGTCATGCAAGCAAGCTGGAGGGTCAGAAACCTCGGGGCGCCCCTTGGTACGTGCGCTGTCCGACCGCTTCTGCATGAGCCGGGAGCCATCGTTGTACCTGCGGTGCCGGAGGACCTTCGAGTGTTGGGTCGCGGGCACAAGGAGCGGGATCTTGATAGCGATATGGACTCGGATGCGGCGGGCGTGGACACTGACGGTGATGACGAGGCTGAGGCCGACTTGGACTTTTAGCACCAGAACCTTCAAATGTATAATACGTTGTAACGTTCAAGTTGTATCTAGCCCCCAAACGCACTCTCTCTAGCTTGCCTTATTATATGCAACAATAACATGTAGTAGGTAGTAAGTACCCAACGCGCGTGTCATGGACAATGATGAACTGCCAGTGACTTGCTCATGACCATCCAAGTGTGCATTCACGGTACTATACCCGACGAGTCGGAGATTTCCAAATGCAGCATCATGCACCATGCATATGTGCGTACTAGCGGAGGGACATACGCACCACAGCATATAGGCTTGACTAAGGATTCTGAGCTACAACGGCAGCTACATAGCCAAGAGCAAGCTTGCACTCTCTAGGGAGCAGTAGTGCCTCTTGCAAGAGTTATGGCGATGCACAAGCCATTCCAACGTGTTTGAAGATAAGTAGATTGAATCCAATTGGTTAGGTTAACTTGTGTACATTGCAATTAGGTCTCAACATATTGAACATGATTAAATAGTGTTGGTATGACCGCCAACCTGTCAGCGCTCCCGAGCGTTTTTCCTGATGGGGTACCGGCTGAGCTGTATTGAAAGACCGGGTTTCGATCAGCCGGTTGGGAAGCTACAGGCTGAGGCACATGGCGGCCGGTTCTTTAAACTATATGGAATGTGATACCGACCGCTCCGCTGCAATTGTCTTATACAGAGTTGAATGTATCACTATCAATGTCGTCAGAGAAACCGGCCGGTGAATGTTTGATAAACAAATTCAACTCTGGCCGCTGTGTTAGCCGTGGCGAGCATTAACAGCGGCCGACACGGGCACTGCAATGCTTTCTTTTGCAGGCCAATCTGCAAAAGATGTTGACATGTACAATTGGTCGAAGGTGTGACAAAACGATGCACAGCCGCCGGCCGCCTAGGCCACAACGCTGCGCCTCAAGGGCGGCCGCTGTGTGAATAGCGTGCTGCAAACGAAGTGTCCGGTTGATGTCATAAAGTACGCAGTGGAATAATACACCGGCGGTATCAATGTTGACGGGCGGTACATATTCGGCCGTAATGCTAGTGAAATACAGTACGCTCTCCGGCCGCGCCGGGTTGTACACTACAATGTTTTATATTTGCGCCTGCTAGTATATGCTGGGTTTCCACAATTCACATCCGGCCGGCTCGCTTTACAACATATGATCCGACAATCGGCCGCCGCAATAGGAACCACAGGCCAGCATGCCCGCCCGCCCGGCTTCCGGCGCTCACTTCCGTTCCACCGGCCGACGTCGGGTTTCCGTTGACAACGGGGAATATGCAGCCCGGGTGTACCGTTAGGAACGTAAAAGTACACTCATTGGGCTCGACCGGTCAGCTGAAGAGAGGGAGATTGAGGCGGCTACCACGGACATCACCAAGTAATGTGCTTGTATTAGCTGGCCCGAGTGATACCCACTCACCAACGCGTGTTTTGCGCCTCCGTTTGGACAGGACTTGCGCCAATGTCATGCTCTCATTCAGTGAATAGCTGCAACGCTGAACCATGCCTTCCTGCCTGCTCAATTGGGACGCTCACATCACCAAGACCTCGCCGCAAAGAATGTACGACGTGGCCTCGCGGATGGGCAAGGGCAAGTGGGAGGCGAGGATGAGCGGTGGGCGCGGTTAAGCAGATGCGTGGGGACGGACAAGCATAGCGGCCATGGGGACGGCGGACGAACAGATGAGGGTGCTGAACGACGAGCATAAGCACGCAGACAGCCAGTTGAAACTTGACGGCGAGTCAGCCGCTGTTCCGCAGAGTTTGGTATGGTGCGCACCTCCTTCCGCGCACTCCTGTGTCGGTTAGCTAGCTACGGACTCACTCATGCAGCTTACCTGTTCCGAGTCGTCTATATACTGTATTCTGATCCAATGTACTGAGTAGAGAAACGGGGAATGGGAGTCATTTCAGTGACACTTGCTAATGATTGTGTGAGCTGTGACGACTGAGTGATGAGTATCTAACAAGTGACGAGTATCTAACGGCGCAATCGCCATCTTCGCCCGACCTTCTAAAATGCGGCGAGTCTTGCTAACGGCCAACACGCTGACGCTATGTAAAATCGGTATTTTAGCAACCGTTACGGCCCGTCACAGCCCTTAACCAAAATCAGAGAAGTTCTGATGCGTGAGCCATACCTCAGCAGCGTATAGCATGCGGGGGACGAGCACCGAGAGGTACAGCTGCTTCATGTAGCGGAAGGCTACTCCCTGGGTAGGCTTCGCAATTCGGCGGAACAGGTTGAGCCACGCGGTGCCTTTTGCCAAGGCTCGCGCTGTCTGTTCTTTCCATCGTAGTCGCCGGTTGATGATGAGTCCGAGGTACTTCGTAGAGTTGGACGCGGGGATGGTTTGATTGGACAGTCGGAGCGGGGGTCCTTCGTCGTCTCCCATTGGGTCGTGGTTAAGGAGCGCGAGCTTGTGCATCTCGAACGCAGAGTGGCGTGTGGTCGACCATTGTAATGCTCCTCCGGTGCGCTTATCTTCCATGTACTTGCGAAGTAGCTGGTGCGTGCGACGGAAGGTCTTGCCGACAGCTGTGACGTCGACGTCGTTGATGAACCCGGAGCTGGTGACTCGTATGATTTCGTGTTTCAGCAACGGGGAGTTATAGATGATGTAGAGGTCACCCGAGTCAGTGTCGCCTTGGTTGATACCGCGTCGAAGGATGAAGGTCTCGGATTGGTAGTCGTCGAAGAGGAGGACGGTGGTTCGTCCGTCCATCTTACGTCTGTACCAGTCAACGATGTCTTCGGGGATGCCCATTTCCCGCATGTCGTGGAACAACTGTTCCGGGCTGGCGCTTGGGAAGGCGGCTTTGACGTCGAGGAACAGGGTGGACGCTTTGAGGCTGTCGCGCCAGGCGTCTCGTACTGTGGTTACTAGCTGCATCAGGGCATCGGTGGCACTTTGCCCAGGTTGACCGCCGAAGTGTGTGTTAGGTAGAATGCTGTGCGTTTCGAGCTCGTACTTCAGTGATTCGATGACGCACGCTGATAGGATCTTGCCCATACAGTTCATTAGCGCGATTGGTTGGTAGGAGCCAGGAAGTTGATAGTCGTCGCGTCCAGGTTTACGTAGGACGACTGTCTTTGCTTCCTTCCAGACAGCTGGGAAGTATCGTAGTTCGAAGGTGGCTCGGTAGAGCGGGCCGAGGACGGGTACGAGGAGGTCTGTGCAGTGTTGGTATACGTCGTTGGGTATCCCGTCTGGGCCGGGGGCTCGCCAAGGCTGGAGTCGGTGTATGGTGTCATGGATCTGTGCATCGGTTACGGGGCGGGTGGAGAAGAGGGGGGGAGGGTGTTGGTGGTCGGGGGGTATGTTGGGGGGAGGACATTCAGGTGGGAAGAAGGTGTCGTAGAGGATCTTGCTCTTCTCGACGTTGCCCAATACAGTGCCGGAACCGTCAGGTTTCTTGAGATCTGGAATGCGAGCCTGTCCTCCGTCAGTAGCACCCATCTGGATGTATCGACCTATGGTCCAGACTGTCTGCGATGAGGCAGATTCAAGCCACGTTTCCCAATGTTCCGTCTTCGTCGCGCGTATTGCGTCGACGTAGCGGTTACGAGTCGCTTTGTACTCGGTGTGAACGGGGTGAGATGGGGACTCACGTAGCGTGTAGGACTGTCGGTTCAGCCTCTGGACAGCAGTGCGTCGCTTCTCGAGGTCTTTCGTCCACCAGCGTTTCGCGTACTTGGACGGTTTGGTTTCGGGGACTTCTTGTTGTATCGTTTGTTGGATGGCATTGGTGACGTCTTGGAGCCGTTTGTCGAAGTCGGCGATCGAGAGGACGGGTGTGTCGGGTATGCTTCGTCTTGTTAGCTCGTGTTCGAGAGCTTTCCTGAAGGTATCCCAGTCAGTCATTCGAAAGTCGTACTTAGTCTGCATCGTTGTTGCGGGAATGCTTAGGTCGAGGTGGAGCTCGACGGGGAAGTGGTCGGTGAGCGGTGGTCGCAGGTCGGTGTTGACGGAGCACAATATAACTGCGTTGCGTAGTTCTTGCGTGCCAAAGACGTTGTCTGGCCGGGTGAAGTTCTTGCTGTTGCTGGCTTGTAGGGTAGGTGTGCCGGCGGGGAGGAGCATCTCCATGTCGTGGTCACTGAGTGCGTCGAGTAGGGGTTGGGCTGCGTCAAGGTACCTGTCCTCAAAGAGATGAGCATTGCGTGGCTCGTCCCACAGTGGGTGATGACGGTTGAAATCGCCGATCCACAATGTGTGCGATGCGGCGTCGTTCGGCTGCCCCCGGTTGAGCTTTGCCGTGAGTTGAGAGAGCATACGTATGGTGTTGTGATGTGTCTGGTCGTTGTACACATTGATTATGTGTATCTTACCTAGCGACGTGTCGAGCGAGACAGCAGTGACGTCGGGGTTGTCGGTCGGTACGCTGGTCCACGCATCCGTGGCGATGCGGCGGTTGACTAAGATGACGGATCTTGTACGTTGTTCGGTGTTGTGGTGGCAAGCTGGGTAGATGACGCGCCAGTCGGGTGTTGCGCGTGTAAGGCGAAGTCCGTTTGTGTGAGGTAGACAGGGTTCTTGAATGAGGATGAGGTCGTAGGGTGGTTTGGCGGAGCTGAGGTTGCCTAGGAGAGCGAGTTGGCCGTCGAGTGATTTGTTGCAGTTGATCGAGAGGAGTCGTAATTCGTTCAGTGATCTCCGTGCTGTATTAGTCATCATCATGTGTGTTAGCCCAGTCTGCGCTTTGTACGTCCTGCGCGGATGTGGGGCGTGACCCAAACCGCATGTCGTCAAGGGTAGCCTGTCGGGGACCTGAGGCCTGGGCGTCCCTGGATCTCGCAGCTCGGCCAGATTGGCTTGGTCGTGCGATTGGGATGGCGTTCGGGTTGTTTCGGGCCCTGGGTCGACTCTCGTTGCGTCGGTAGGTGTTTCGCTCGTTCGTGTGGCGTCCTCGGCGGTCGGTCAATCGCCATCTGTCGTCGTCACGTCGCTCCGAGTATTCGTGGCATTGGTACATTGGTGGGTGCGATGGGTTGGGTTTCGCCATCGGTGCTTCGTGGACGAGTTCCCACGATGATGGGTCATCCTTGACTGGATAGTACCTGTACATGCTCTCCTTCGAGCGTGCGACCTTGCGTCTGCGGACGTCCTCGTAGTAGGGGCATTGTCGAGACCACGTCGTGTGTCCATCAACGTTGCAGTTGACGCAGTGAAAGTTGTGGGGGTCGCTGACGGTACAGTCGCGCGAGTCGTGGCCTGTGCCACAGGTGCCGCAGACGTGCGGGGCCGTGCAGTTCTTTGTGTTGTGGTTGGCGTCGAACTTCTGGCATCGGTGACACCGGTGCGGTTCTTGGTCGGGTTTCCGCGCATACACCTTCTTACCTCGCATGATCATCCCGTGTCGTATGGCTTTGTTGGCAGCCTGTGGGTGGTTGAAGCTGATGATCGCGTGTGCTACCGATTGGTGCTCGGTTCGTCGCGCCTCTGGTTTGATCCACTTGGCTCTTGTGATGGTGCCGGGTTCTACGTTGCTAGTCTTCTCGTAGCCGGTTAATGCGAAGGCGTCAGTAAGGTCACACTGGACCGGTACGAACTCGACCACTACTGGGTACGATCGTTCGCAGACTACAACATTCTTGCCACCCATAGAGGCGGCAAATCTCTCTGCGACGGTCAAGCGTCTGAGCCAGCGCGCTGACTCGGGACTCTCCATCTCGTACACGACTCCCCCATTGGGGATGATGCGGGCGGATTTGATCTGCACTCCGTCGGGTGCGGTAGCTCCATGCTCGCGCATGAGATCAATGGCGGCTACCTTAGCCTTCTCTAGGAGGTTGCGCTCGTTGAGCGTGACTCCGTCTGCTACGTTCAGGTTGATGCCATCCACTAGCACCTGCTTTGCTCGCAGGGTTTGCATGGCGAGCGTCGACGCATGCGACGTGGGCAGTGTTTGGGTCACGGCGGCCGCATACGACTCACGTCTAGGTTCGGAAGGACCCTCCGCACGCATTGTGGGTTCAATGGGTCGGTGTTCGACATGTGCTACCTGATCCTGGGCGGATAGGATGGTCGCACTCGCCTTCTCGACGGATTCTCCCAGCGACGCGTGGAGGCGCGACACTTCCTCGACAGTCTTGGATAGTTTACTCACCTCGTTCTGGACTCTGTTCGCACTCCCAAACATCTCTATTGACGCCTGCTCGCATCGCTCTGTTAGGTTGTCGAGCCGCTGACGTTGTTCCTCGTGCGCTGTCGCTAACATCCCGTCGAGACTTTCGCGGATCTTGCTCGAGATGTCAGTGACGGTGATGTTTCTTGCGTAGGTCGCGAAGGCTCGGAGGCCTTCGGTGACGATCACTGAGTTGCTCCGGTGTGCTAGCATGAGTAGGCCATTGGCGAGGGTTTCCGTGTTGGGTTCGACGTTATCTGGGACGAATGAGTACTTCGCTAGAAAGTCGAGGGCCTGTTCGTTGTCGAAGGGTTGGACTGTGAGTCTGTCATTCAGCGCGGATGAGTTGCTTCTCGTCGATACGTTGGATGGTCGTGGTGCTGGTGGTTTCGCTGATTGCGCTCTGTCAGCCGTCTTCGGTGTCGTTCGTTTCCCATGGTCGGCCATAGGTCACTAAGTAGGCTAAAAAGGCTGTATTGGTGGGTGGTTGGGCGTCGTGAGCCCTGCTAGAGGTCCACCGGTCTTCGGTCGTGCTTCCCGGATGGTCTGTCTGACCGTGGGAAAATTGCCGAAGGTGGTGGTACGGAGCCAAGAAGAGTCCCCATATGATATCTGAGTAGTACCAGGAAAATGATACATAAATACCAGGACAATAGGGAATATCACACCAGCATTGGGAAATAGTAAGAAATGTCAGATTATATTCAACAAGACAAAGATATCACTGAACCACAGGCCGGGAAGCATGAAGACTAACACACAGCATTGAATGAACTAATGCTGCCAGCCCGTGGCGAAGCCATGGGCTGGCAATGCCCAAGCATATAACCTTCAAAGTAACGTAAAGCACAGAATGAAAGAACCGCCGCCAGACCTGAGGCGAAGCCCAGGTCTGGCATTGCCTAAGCATGAAATCTTAAAAGTAACATGAAGCACAGAATAAAGAAATCACCTGCCATGGGCTGGCGATGCCCAAGCATATAACCTTCAAAGTAACACAAAGCACAGAATGAAAGAACCACCGCCAGACCTGAGGCGAAGCCCAGGTCTGGCATTGCATAAGCATATAACCTCCAAAGTAACACAAAACACAGAATGAAAGAACTACCACCAGACCTGAGGCGAAGCCCAGGTCTGGCATTGCATAAGCATGAAATCTTAAAAGTTACATGAAGCACAGAATGAAGAAATTGCCCTGTAAACCCGTGGCAAAGCCACGGGTTTGCGATGCTCGTAGAGGTTTGATTGGACGAATCAGACCAGGACCCCTGATAATTGGGGAGGAAGCCTTAATCGAATCCGGACAAATTTGGGCGATTCGGAGGGGCTGGGGCTGATGTTTGTCCGGACAAATGGGCAAATTTCGCTGGGAAGGGCTGAGGAACTGTACGGACATAGCTTGTCGTGATTGCTCGAGGGGTGAGGAACATCCGGACATGGCCAGCCCAGGTGCTCTCGCGAACGGCGTCAGCGCGACGACAACCCCCCGAGCGCACCAACCCTGCTAAATGGCGGGGTCCGTCGGTAGAGGCCTGAGGAAAAGTCCGGACAAACCCCCGCCGAACTTGGGACTGCCTGATTTTATCCGACCAAATCTCGCCAAATCTCGCCAAAAAAGTCCGGACAAAAGGGCTGAATTTGCGCGCGAGCAGATCAGGCCTCTCCGCATATAATCAGGGGTCCTATCAGACCACCTCCGCACAATCACCTCTGCCACGTGGATTCAGCGATTGTTCGGGCAGCAGAACAGGCTCGGCGCGTTCTCGACTTCTCTGTCTTCACTCAGTGCTCAGCACTGCCTCTCACTTACAGTAAGAGTTCCTCTTTACGTCCGCCGTAAACAATCTCAGCTTCATGTCTAGATTCCAGCAGGAGGCTACAGCTGTCATAGGCACCATGGAGGGCCCCGGAGGCATTTCTCCCATGGAGTGGTCGGTGAGTAGTCAATCCGATCCTATGCTCGCAGAGCAGTCATTCAGTGTCCTGCAGCTCATGTACGCCAATCATCACCGGTTCTCTTTTGTGGACGAACAAATGGAGCACCAGTATTCAGAGGGCTGTGAGTACTGCCGCCGCAAGCTGTTTAGTGAGTACACTGAGCATCTTGCCAGCTTGCGCATCGGAAGCAGCAACAGCCCCGGATCAGCTGTCGCGAGGTGTCCTTCATGAAGGAACCGTCTACGAGGCCCCATGTGTCAGGCGCAGCCAGTGGTTGGCGCCTCACTTTCATTGTTATCCTACCTCCGAGTGTCATCAGCCGGTCACAGTCAATGTCGATACGTTCCCCGAGATGGTGGCAACCGGTGAGTATGGTCATGTTCAAGCCTGAATCACATTAAGTTTGTTCAATCGGTAGGGAGTCCGGGAACCTTGCACCCAGGGGAGGCATATGGAGCAAGTACAGTTCCAGGATGCTCATCAGCCTCTCATCGACGTGCAGCCACTCCAGCCCAGGGTCCAGTCCCCATGTCAGAGGCCCAGATGCCGGCGGTGCACACTAATTGGAGCATCAGTGCGTCCAGGGAATATGAACAGCCACAATTTGGCTTGTCCATGGTAAGCCGCATCATCGTCACCAAGGATTCCACAATGAGCATGATCTAGACTCAGCAGGTTGCACCCGTGATGCCACAGTGGCGGCAAACGTTGCATCTACATCCGGCTGCTTACGACTTCGTTATCGAACCGGAGCATAACGCACAGTATGTCGGCGATCCGAGACCCATCATGCCCCAATTGAACGAGGCTGCAATGCCTACTGGTGGCCCGCCAGCAGGCACGCCCGCATTCGTGGAAGAGGAAGAGGATCCGCTCGCCGTGACGGATTGGGCAAGTCTCCGCTACACCAAGCAATGGCGAAACTCAGCGGCCACTTGCTTCGGCTATACCGTATACTACAAGCAATCTGGCTCAAGGGACATCGCGGGGCCACCAGCTTCTTTGGGCGCCGATGTTGCCGATATCTTCGTGTACCATCACACAGGCAGGCGGCAGTTCCAACACTGGGTTTGTAAGGCTGTAGACCCCTGTGTGTGGGTACCGATAAAGGACGGTCAGCCCCATCCGTTTTCGAAGGACCGTTTTTTATCCACCAAGGTACCGCGCGACCCAAGTTGGGTCACTAAGTCGACGATCGCTGCGTACAATAGCCGGAAGAAGAAGGACAACGCTTGATTCGCATATCGGTTCCTATGTTTTTACAAACATGTACATGTACATACTAGATACTCTGAGCAGAACTGGGATTGGAATGTGATTGGGCACGCTTCATTCAATGCCCTCGTATCAGCATAGTGAAGGACTTAATAGTCATACCACAATCAGGGACCTATGTATCGCGGGCAGGAGCTCGTCAACAGCCGCGACCGGGCCCGCGATGTCCGTCGTGTTCCACGTGCCTATACACGCTGCTGGACTCAACATGAGCAGCAAGGGCACCACAAGACGATAGACGAGTGCGGGCGGGCAACAGCAAGAACGAGAACACATGGGCGAGAAGCAGCATACAAGGCGATACGAGCAAGAAAGTACGCGAGAGCGCGAGAACGAGGGCAGACGAGGGCGAGAGCACGAAGGCGAGGACGAGGGCAGTGTTATGGATGCGGTAGAGCGCATCAAGGCTGCGTACGCTAACGTATATAGGACTACCTTCGATAATCGCGACCCGCAGGCTTTCGTACCGCGTCCCTAGATTAATTAGTACATCTTGTATTCTTACTGTAATTACGTAAGCGCGCGCTCGCAGTCATCTCGCGCGCGTCCAGCAATTAGACGCCAGACCTTCTTGAACTCCTACCACACTCGTCCGTGTGCGATACCGCACCGTCCGAACCAGGAGGTAAGTCCCCAGCCGCGCGAGCTCCTCGCTCCTCGGCGCCCAGCGCGAGCTCCTCGCCGCTCTGAGGAGAAGCTCCTCGCTGTCTCCTACCCCAAGAGCGGCTCCTCGCCGTCTTGGCCTCCTGGGCTCCTCGCTGCAGGCACGCTTTCACCTCGCGGACCTCACCTCCGCGTACGTCCACGGCTCCTCGCGTCTCGGCTCCTCGCCAAGACTCGACGACTCGTGCCACGCTAGCTCCTCGCTAGTGCACGTCGGTATACGTGTCGCGGCGGCTCCTCGCCAACCCGACCGTATATCTCAGGCCGGCTCCTCGCCAGCACACGACCTTCACGACCCACTTACGACTCGGTCGCGGAGCGACCACCAACGTTCGAGCCGCCAGGCAGCCCGTTCCCTCCCAGTGTGAGTAGACGAAACCTCCGTCTCTCACATTGGTGGACACTCAGGGGAACGGTCCACTGCCCCATCGGTTCGTAGGCCTTAACCTCTACGTCTGTCTCCCCTTCGACCCGCCGCTATGACCGCGTGCACCCCCGCGGCGGGCACCTCATTTCTCGGCGACGCCTCACGGCCATCTCGCCCCTCGTCAGCCCTCCCTTCGGGATCGGCTTCACCTTTCACACAAATCTCCGTTCCGACTCCAGAGGGGACGGCCCGAAGTAAAGTCGCATCTATAGAGGACGTAGAGGACTCGGGAGGATCCCGTAAGTTGCCCATTACTTCCTCCCTTCCCCCTCTAGACCGAGTGCGCGAAAGTCTCCGCTCCTCGGTCTCTCCCCATCCGGTCGCTCCCCTCAACTTCCCGCGGACGATGCTCGTCCCGGGGAGTCTCGACGACGATTCCTCCACGGGAGCTCAACCCTCGCACGACCTCAAGCCGTCAACTTTCGTCGAGTCGCCTCGACCTCGACCGGCCGACGGCAGCTC